TTGGAGGTATGTATGTAAAACAATGAGAAGACTTGTGCAACCCGCCTTTATGCCTCTCCTGAACTTAAATATAATTAGCTGAATCATAAAGATGCTGGATTAAGATCGTGAGGGGGTAGAATTGAGATCTTTTTTTCGATTAATCATGCACCCCTAGTGCCAATTATTTGTTTAAAAAAACAATACTAGAGATCCCGAGTCAATTTCAAACATTGATATCAAGCCTAATCAAGGCATTTTGATCCCTAACTGCGGGGTTCCAGACTGTGAGTAAATGCATTCAGTGATTAAACTGCACGATGATGATGATGATGACGAATTTTTATTCATTGCCATGTCAGCAACAAAGGCTATTTTCATGGCAAGAACATTCCATTAATAAACAATAAATATACAATTAAAAACAACTTAGATACATAAATTAGATCGAATTTTTAACTGCATTTTGAAAGATTTTTTCTGCCCGTACTCAATTCTGTGGTCATGGTGGAATTACAGATTTGCCAAACTGATAAAAGATGACATACAGTTTCATATGAGCTACATCGCTGAACGCATCAAAAGCAATAAAAACAGTTCCAATTGCTTGAATCATGTGCTGCACAGAGCATTTATCAACTTAGGTCAATAGTAAAGACAGTGCTGTGCGAGATAGAGCTCGGCTATAATTTACTTGTTCATGTTGTGCCAAACATGTATGGATTCATTTTGTTAGTAGAACACAAAAAAGTAGTGTATTCAACATATTGGCAGTCATACTGCTATTGTCTGGAAAGTGTTGAAAAGAAATCCGTCAGCCATGGTGTCGTCCTTCCTCCAGCGTGCAAAAGTAACTCCAATATTGATTCAGGATTTTAAAAAGTTTTGATTCAGCATTTGTTTTTACCGCTGTCACTTGTGTCCACGGCGGATCTGTGTGAACAGCTGCGCAGATGTACAAATACTGACAGACAGTTTGGGTTAATTATCAGAATCATGGGAATTACCGGCCTGATAATATTTAATTGGATGACTTTTTAGTCTTATGCCTTACCCAGAATATTAAAACACATATAAACACATTTAGATCTTTCACTTTAATCATTACATTGGAATGCGAAGAGACTTTCAACCAGCACAATTAAAGATGTTTCTGAAGACAATCACTAACTGCTAAGGGTGTCACGATCCTCCAAATCCTCGATTCGATTACATTTTCGATTCTAAAGGCACGATTCGATTCGATTTTCGATTATAAATAATTAATGACCAATTAATTATTTGTAGCCTACCGTTTAAACTACCTGACCTGTATGGTCTTTGTTTTACCCATAAACAAATCATACAGTAAATGAATAAAGGCAAGTTACACACATAATTACCACCTGTCAATCACTTTTTTCTGCGGGACTCGTGAATAGGCAGTGATCTGTGTCGTTATAATGGCGTCGGTAAAAAAGACGCACAACCAACAGGAACCAGCCAACAGTATCTGAGGTGTTCGCTAAAATGAGTAAGTACAAGTGAGTGAAAGATTGAAGCAGTCCTCTGACTGCCTGGACCTGCTGTCTCGAGCGCATGCTGTCTGTGTCTGTGTGGTCACGTGATGTGCATTTTCAGAGGTAGAGAGGAAGGAGGGCTGCTCAGAAATGCTACATGCCACTGTGGATGTCAAATCGTTGTTCTAAAATGCCATTTAAAAACAAAGACAGTGTAAACAAGGCCTGAGTGTGTACTTTTCGTGAGCGGATTTGCAACGGGGGCGGGCGGAGGATCGCGATGCCGGTGTTGTCTATCGGATGAACCGTACGTAATACGTACATAGCAGAGCTTGCAAAACTTAGTTTTTTTTTGTCGACAACACGAACGTTGTCAACATAACTCACTGGAAATCCAAAATGTTTCCCCACCGGCGACTTCATTGAAAGAGGAGAGGGTTTAAGCTCTGTCGACGGGTCTCCTGCTTCTGCAGTTTAACAAGCACTTCAACAAGCCTGTTTTTTTCCCGCTTGGCAAGCCAAGCTGACGTGACATGGGGGCGTGGCAGCATCGACGATTCTATTTTTTGATTCGATAATCAAAATTGAGCATAAATTTCGATAGATTTCGATTAAAAATTGAAATCATGACACCCCTACTAACTGCACCTTTAAATCAGCTTGTTTCTCAGATTAGGCTTAGAAAATGTTTATCTAATACCCTGTATATCGGTTATCGGCTTCCAATTTCCAAATATTAAGACTTATTAGTAACTCATATAAGCCAAAATGTGAATCCCTACAAAAAAGTACATCTTTGAAATTCTTTAAACCATTTATGTCAATACAATGACAATCAGTGGGGAACAAATTAACCCAACTGCATAACTTACTTCACTGTACAACCCAACAGTCAACTTGATAAAATGAGTGTAGTTAACTTAAATTGACCGAAAGTTAATTCTATTCATTTGAAGATTTTTTAACTCAGTGTTAAAGGTGATTAGTTCATTAAATACCTCAGTACTTCAACTTAAATGGAGTAAGTTCACAGTAATCAGATCAGTTTTTTTTTAAACTCAAATGGTTTTTAGTAATCGGTTTCCTAAAACGGTTTGAGTTGAGTTCTCTTCATTTATTGGGTTTTACTGTGCTCAAATTGCTTCGTTTACTCAAATGGATTAAGTTCACAGTTCACTTTAAATGGTTTGTTGCAAACGGTTTCCTCAAATGGTTTGAGTTGCCTTAACTTTGTTTTTTTTTTCAGTGTTGGAATACATAAAACATGAATATTTTGATATTGCAATAAACGTACTTATGTTTTTCAGTTGATATAATTTCATGCTTAAAATAATTAACTGGTTGTACCGGTCTGGAATTAGATGATGGTCAGTAAAAAAATAGTTCATTTTGGCTTAGCCATTCGTCTCTAATATTGAATTCCTCAAACTTAAAATTTTTGATGATGAATGATGAAGCTGGAGGCACAGTGGTTAGCACTGTCACCTCTAAGCAAAAAGGGTTGTTGCTTCAAACCTTTTCTGAGTCAGTTGGCACTTCTGCAAAGAGTTTGCATGTTTTTCCCGTGTTCATGTCGGTTTCCTTCAGGTGCTCTGGATAAATAAAGGGACTAAGCCGACAGAAAATGAATGAATCATATGGATGAAAGATATAAATCTAACTCAAGCTAGTCCTATAATACAAATTATTAGACATTATAATTTCAGTCATGCTCTAAGAAAATCCGCCAACACAAACCTAAAGTTTAGGTCAGAAATTTTTGTATAAAAATGCCACCTAAGCATTCTATAACAGATCACAACAAAATTGTAGCTCATAGATGGACAATGTTCACCTCTGAAACGATGTTCCTTCACCCCTTCACACATGTGACACTGTTCTGGGGAAAAAAATCCTAAATTTGCCTCTAGGTCTGGTGAGACTTTGCCTTTTTAAAAGCATTAATATGAATAAGAGGGTGTGATGAGCTCACAGTGCCGGAGGCTCACTCCCTGTCAGTTCTACAACGATGATTTATTCAATAGCCATCTAGAAGCGTGAGCGGCAAACGGCCAGCTCCTGTACTCCCATGAAAACCATGCTCAGGTTTATGTCTGAATTAATCATTCATGCATGTCAATTATTTAGGCACGCATGTAATTCAGATGGCGAATGCCTTAACATTTTTCAGAAGACAGCAGTAAACCACATGTAGGAAAACGGTCTTGCATGCTGGTACAGAAAAATGCAATGCATAAAAATGCAGTTTAAGGGAAATTGTGTAACCGCTATTAACAAACAAGTAAATATCATAGAGAAATGACCAAAATATTATTTATGACTGGATGAATAATAATAATAAAGAAACTGAGGTGAGTAACCAAAGGGCATGTTGTTAGCGTGACCCCATTAGTGTTTGCAAGAAGAAGATGTAACCTCACCATCTAGCCACTATAAAGCATATTTTTCCATTAAGGATCATTAAAAAAATTGTACTCTGATGATATGTGAATAGTGCATCATTATTTGAACATTTCATTATTTTTAATATTGTGGAAAAAGCAACATTTCAGTTCATTATGTTTCATAAATGTGTCATTCTTGTATTAGAAAATGTGCTTGCTGCCTATCATGTAGTAAAGATTTGATACAGTGGGGAAATTACGACCATAAGATCTACATGATTTACTGTACAAAAACCAATTTGGGTGTATAAGAAAATAAAATTGCAAGGCTAAATGGAATTTTCAGAGCCTCTGATTTCAATACTGGCCTTTACTGAACAAGAAGGTTTGTGTTTTACTTTAAATCTAACAAACCAGACATGTTAAAAAAAGAAAGCTGACCAGACTATGATGTTAACACTGAACTGACTAACAAGGTTTGAAAAAAGGTTGTTTTTTTTTTATAAAGGAAAATTTATCATTAAAATTTATAATTAATAAAATTTATAATTAATACCAAATAAAATGCAATGAAAACAACTTAAATGAAGCACAATCCTTTACTATAATCTCTAGATTTAAATTCAAGAAGCACACTGTGTGCTCCATAACTATTAAAGAAATTATTAAAGCCTGCAGTAACCCTAATACATTGGCTTTATTCGATTTCAGCTTTATTATTATAGGCTTATTGTCAATTGGATCAACACTTTTTCTAAATTTGCTCGAAAAAAATCACGTTAATTTTCTGTTTAAATGAGGGTGATGGGATGACATAATAATTAAGCAAATTTGATTATAGGCCACACATACAAAACAAAAGCACTAATTATTTTATAAGTGCAAATGAGACGGTCTCTTATAGGACTTGACTTGAAGTTTAGAAAAATACAGTATGTTTATGAACTACTTTGATCTGAAGCAGAAGGAAAGGGGGGAGTAATACACAACACAACAGAAGACAAATAAGCAGGCTGCACCTGACCCGTCAAAAAAACACGACAAAAACCCGCCACAAAATCTTGTCAGCTAATAGTAGTACTACAAATAAACACATAACAACTTAAATGTCAACAAAGCCATAAAGTGAAATACTTACTTTCGGATTTCAAGTTAGTTCCTTGCTTGGCTTCCCAGTGGCTCTCCAGTCCGAGCTCATTTAAAGAGAAGCGCGCGCGCCGTTGTTTGCTCTAAAACATTGTCTTCGAGCGCGCAAACAGACAATATGACGACGACTTGTAGGTCTTTAACCCCTCTTCGAAATAAAACCACGTCCCATGAAGTCAGACAAAAAAGACCGCCGTGTCGCGCAAAGCTTCGGAGGTTTGTTGTGTCCTGCTCTTCAGCTTTTCTCCGGACGCTTTTGTAAGATTCACGTGATATGATGAAGGTGTGCTGAAGGGATGCTGGATGCTGTGTTAATGCGCCCCGTTCGGCTCGCAGGAACAATGTGTGAGTGCTGTGGTTGAATTGGTAGGCGAAACACAGGAGCATGAGCGAACGCGTGATAGTCATGTCCCACCCTCAGGTCCTGCCTCTCTCCATCCACGCGCGGGGAGCACCGAATGCATTATCTCACTCATTTCATCAATGCGCTTTGACGTGTTGTTGCTAAAGATTCCATGCGGTTGTAAATCAATTCAGAATAACTCTGATCTGTGATGCAACTGCTGCACAGTGCTCAATGACACGACACCTCATGTTTCATGGGAAACAGATATGTGTAACATTAGTACACTCAAAAAATATATTTGCTGCTTGTTCAAACTTCTTATTTAAAATGAGCTAAAACAACACAATTCTTAAGGTTTTGGGGGGACAACTTGATTGTTTTATGTTCAATCCACTTAAAATTTTACAAACTAATAATTTATCACTAATAAGTAATTATTGTTTTCTAGCTTTTTTGTGAAATTTGTTTTTATCTAGACCAGGGGTGCCCACTTTTTTCTTACGAAGGGCCAAAAACCAAAGTTGATTAAGGTTAGTGCCAAGGGTAATTATAGTTGCTAAGAGTAAATTCCAAAATTATTTCATATTTTAAAATAATTATAAACATAGCTTTATATTAACTAATACAGTATATATATATTTGTTTACATTATATAATGAACATTACAGTAAAAACAAAAACAATATTATTTATAACGGAATGGAGTTACAGTTTTTATCTTAATTTGCTCGCCATGTCTTCTGCATAGTCCTCTGTTTGGTGGGTGACAGCATTACTAGGGCTGCACAATTTATCGTTTCAGCATCAAAATTGCAATGTGATCATTAGTAATAGTCAAATCGAAAGTATACACAATGTTAAGTCTGCATTATGAATTTTTTCATTTCGGAAGTGTTCTTTGAGCACTGTGACTGTGGGGGTTTTAAAAGCATTCAGGCATAAAAAGTACTATTTGTTACTTTGAAAATTTTATAACGATTAATTGTAGACTGTGCAGTATTATTTCTATTACTTTATACCTGAATACATTTCTACTCTTCAGAAAACAACAAAACACTGTTTATGTAATTAGCATATTTTTTAAACAAATGTATCTGCATTTAAGATGCATTGTTAAAAATAAAAGTTGAAACTTGTACACTGTTTTGACTCTTTTTTTAACTGATGAATGCAAACTGTTCTGTAATGCAGTCAACAATCTATATAACTAAAAATACATTTAAATATCATCCTACACTATAATGAACATTATTAGTGTTAAGAAGAACACTCTTATTAGAGTTAAGCTATTAACACTGCGAGTCAAGAAGAACACTCTTAGAGTTAAGATATTAACACTGCGAGTCAAGAAGAACACTTTTAGAGTTAAGCTATTAACACTGCGAGTCAAGAAGAACACTCTTAGAGTTAAGATATTAACACTGTGAGTCAAGAAGAACACTCTTAGAGTTAAGCTATTAACACTGCGAGTCAAGAAGAACACTCTTAGAGTTAAGCTATTAACACTGCGAGTCAAGAAGAATACTCTTAGTGTTAAGATATTAACACTGCGAGTGTAGTTTTAACATTTATTTTGTGCAAATAAGGAAAGAGAGCAGAAAACACAATTTTAAACTTTTTTAAACACTGCAAGTGTAAAAAATACTCTTTTTCAAGTGTAATTTTAACTCTATTTAGTGTGGACCTATATAAACACTGAATAAGTGTTAATTTTCCCACTTTGAGAGTGAAATTAACACTTCAAAATTTGTTGTGTGCAGATTATTAAATGTTATGCACTCCTATACAGAATCTTCCCAACCAATCTATAATTATAAATTCTTTACAAACATTTATTTAACTCATCTGAGAAATTTGCAGAAAAAAATATCGTAATGTGTAATTTCTTTAATTTCGTGCAGCAGTAGCATTTGCATTTACATTTAATTGAAACATTTAATTTCAGTTTGCTTTTTTTTTTTTTTTTTTTTGCTTAGCAATAAAACCTCTGAACCCATTCTATCATTCTCACTCTTTCTCAGATAGGATGGTGGGACAAATTAATGATTACAATGGGCCAAGTTTAGCCCACAGATACTTTGAGCATCTCTGATCTAGACTATTTAAAAGACAGAAAGTGTGTGCAAAAGGCTCTCAAGTTTCACTTCTTAATAATGGGGTTGCTAAGCTAAAAAGTCAATTTATTCATTATGTACCATCATCTATCCAGTTGGAAGAAGCCATCACGAGATGGCAACACTGTGATCATTAGGGGATAATGTCAACAACAACAAAAATTCCTGGAAGGTTTTGGTTTTTAAATGATGCTCAATTGATACTATGTCTGCCAAGAAAATGTCCTCCACATGATTACACCACATTTACCAGCTTTTCATGTCATATATATATATATATATATATATATATATATATATATATATATATATATATATATATATATATATATATATATATATATATCTATATATATATATATACCATCACAACAGACACCATTTTCCAGTATTCTGTTGTTCAATAATGGTTAGATAGTGGAATCTGTAGTCTCAGTTTCATTGTTCTTTCCTGACAGCACCCAGAGTGCTCTTCTTCTGCTGCTGTAGCTCATCTGCTTCAATGTTGGATGTGCCTTAGCTGTAGAGATGCTCTTCTGCAGACCTCAGTTGTTTTGGTTATTTGAGTTACTGCTGACTTTCTATCAATCTGAAGATGAAGAGCTGGGGGTAGGAGGAGGTTGGGCCCCCTGATATTATCTCTGGTGGTTTATAATAATAAATCAAAATGAAGGAATGAATGAATGGGAGTCATTTTAGTATTGCTGCTTTCAATCAAAGATATCAGTAATTTAAGTTTCAATTGTACAGAATCTACAGATAGCAACTGCTGACGCAAACACTAGCACCACAAAAGCTGTATTTTTTCTGTCTCCACAGTGCACACAATTCAGAAGAGCAAAAGAGGAGACACAACGACTGGACAGCATGGGGCCCAGGTCTGCAGAAAAAGTCACACTTTGATGAGCTAGTGATGATCAGAAAGGGCCGTCTACATGATGCTCTATAGCACAAGGAGGTCACTGAAGTGCAAAGCTATAATGATCCATGATTACCTATGGCAGTTTTTAATCGCAGCCTTTTCCGCCGTATTAGCCACCTCTGCAGGGATGACAGAACCCACGGTTTGAGGAAATAGCTTCTTTTGTTATTAGCTTCACCTTCATTATCTACGATATTTGCAGAAAGAAAAAAAACAGACAATAATTGGTCATCACTGAAAATATACTGTCAAGTCTTTTATCGTGTTCCCTTTTTACACACGCTGACCTTCCGCTTTTGTGTCTGAAACAAACCATCTTAAAAGGGCAAAAGCATTGGGAGACTTTTACTGTGATGAATGCTACACCATTGTGTTGAGCTCAGGGCTTTAGCTGGTGTATTTCACTTTTCTATTACAGCTCAAGGGTACGGTAATTCCTCTGATATTTGACAACGCATGCCCGTTTTATTAACCGCCACAAGTGTGAAACATAGGGAGACTGTCTGAAGCACTAATATGTGGACTTTGGTGAGTAAAAAATGCTCATAATCGATTTCTGTTTGGACAGCATGAAGGAATTGAGTTAACTTATTCATTAATTTTCTTTTCCGGCTTAGTCCCTTTATTAATCCGGGTTCGCCACAGCGGAATGAACCACCAACTTATCCAGCACACTACAACCCATCACAGGGAAACATCCATACACACTCACTCACACTCATTCACTATGGACAATTTAGCCTACCCAATTCAACTGTACCGCATGTCTTTGGAAACCCATGCGAACGCAGGGAGAACATGCAAACTCCACACAGTAAACGCCGACTGACCCAGCCGAGACTCGAACCAGCGACCTTCTTGCTGTAAGGCGACCAGACTACCTAACTTACCTAACCTACCTTATTCGTTTATACAAATTTAAGTGGATTGAACATAAAACAATCAAGTTGTCCCCAAATAAATATCAAGAATTGTGTTGTTTGAGCTCAGTTTGATTAAGTGATTTGAACAAAAAGCAAATGTTTTTTGAGTGTAATGTATGGTTTTTAAAAAGTAAATTCTAGGTTCATGAACAATTTATGTACACTAAAAAAATGTTGTGTTGTCATGACCTAATGTTGGGTCAAATATGGACAAACCCAGTGTTGGTGTCATGATCACCAGCGATCTAATGCTTGCAGATTGTTGAAAAACTAAAAATCTGTCACTAAACCGGAATACAAATAACATCATGCACCGCATGCACACCAGTTCCTTAATCTTTCTGATTACACACGTAATGGTCATTCTCAATGATTACATAGACTATATATATTCCAGTTTCACACACTCTTTGCTGAGTCTTGTTTCTGTTATACTGTAACTCTACGAAGCATCTTCTTGTCTTGTCTTGTTTAGCCGTATTTTGACCCTTTCCCTTGTTTCATTGTTTACGTTGTTTTCGCCACCTGTACTGACCATTCGTCTGTTTTTCTACTCGTTAAAGTTAGATTAATGCTTTCTTTTAAATTTAGGTTATACTTCGTAACCCAGTGATTGGGTTTGCAAACATTTGACCCAATATTTTAGGATGTACCACAAGTCATCATTTATATGACATAAATGTGAATATTTTTTCTCTTTTAAGGCAATTGTATGAGCCTCTAAAGCATAAGAAAACACAATAAGAGGCTGATGTATGCAAGATGTAAATTACAGGGACATTTGGAGGGATCGAATGCTCTAATTAATGCTTGACCCCTACTGAATGATGCCAAAACACAATAAATGGGGGTTAAATACTAAGAAATATTTTGCTTAAATTATGATATTAATAATTAAAACAATAGATCATATAAATATATATTTGAACACCC